ACCTGTAACCAAAAGTCACGTTTCTGATATGATTCCCATGTGACCTGAATAAATAACTAAAATGCCAGTAGCTACCCCCGATACTGTGTGACACCCCTGGAAGACAGTGTCATGTGTATGCAGTGGTTAGCATTCCAGTCTACCTTAACGACAAGAGACATCAGCAGGGAGGAATCTTGCCAGAAACCGGAAGGAGTGAAAGCCGCCCCTGGAAACACAGGCGCCCCTGATGACACTAGAATACCAACCCTCCCCGCGAGGCCGCCTTACACTCCCTCCAGCACAGAAGCAACCTGGGCCTGTGCCCAGCTTCGATGCTCCCACTGTGCCGCACAGCAGCCCGGGCACTCAGAGGGGTGATGAAACGCCGAGTTCTGGTCTTTACCCAGATCCATTTTGGTTGTCCAGTATTGCTATTTAAGACCCAGAAACCATCACTCAGTACTGCACCTGATTCTTGATTATTAATCGGAAACAACACATATGGAAGCATTTGAGAGGGAAATTATATACCACCACCAAACAATAGAAATGCAGCTATGGCTGAGTCCCTTTCTTACTTTCAGACAATCCTGAATAGTCCATTTAATTTCTAATTCCTCATTGTGCCTCTCTCCGCCGGGCCATTTCTGGCACAAGGGGGCTTATTGACACACATGGGGGCTTCCTTGCAGGCTCTGGTCCCAGGTGGCCCGAGGAAGGCACCTGCAGACCTCAATGGATGGGAGCCTCTCTGTCTCCCAGGGGAGGGGAGGTGGGCAGGGCCTATGACCTCGCCACCCTACATAACCTATTAGTCATGTTCATTTGTTCTGCGGGCACCGGATCCTGTAAATATTGGTGACTTTAATGAAATTTGATTTTACATGCATCTGTACTCAGGCCTCGGTTTAGTCCACATTAAAATTGTTGTATCTTTAATATTTGTTAGGTAGTAACATTGAATCTTTCATTGATCACCTATCCAGTGACTTAGAGGCTCAGGCTCTGCCGCTGAGTCACTACCTACACTCGCTCATCTCCCAGCGCTTCAGTTCCTGTCTGCAAAACGGGGATAGCACCCCCAGGAGGCTCTTTTTAGGTGAATGAGAGAGTGTGTACAGAGCAAGCAGCTTTACAAATGGTAGCTAGTGCATTTGAGTGGTCCTGTGAACAGACTATATGCATATATACACACATGTGTAGGTGCTGTGCTGCTGCTCTCCGGTGTTTTCAAAGGTTTTACGAAGGTTCAGAAGGCCCAGGCGGGGGCAGGTCCTTCCTGACGCTCTAGGAATTACACTGATCTCTTTCTTCGTGACGTGAGGGTCACAGGCTGGGCCTGGAGTGGGCTTAAGGATTATCATGTGAAGATCCTCTCTCCACTCCTGATTCATTCACTGCAGTCAATGCAGCTCCAATTTCCATTAAGAAAAGTGTTTCCTCTAATCCATTTACATTGACCTGACTTTGGTGAGATGCAGGGAGTAATTGCTTTGAGGAGGTCCTAGTAACATCAAGACACAGAGGCAGGCTCAAGTGCTTGAGCAGGCAGCATTAAAAATGTTTCTAAAAGCTAGAAGAAAAAGGTTTTCCTTGGTTTTAAGGCAAGACTATGACTGATTTTTTGAACTACCAGTCCCAGAATGCCATCTACCTTACAGAAATGAAAGCGTACTTGAAATTATATTGAGAGTCTGATAGGAATTTGTCTACTTTATGGCTCAAAAACTCCCAGACCCAAGCAACAATACACCTGGGCAAGCTTCCCAGGACTTCAGTGAGGCAGAGAAAGGGGCCAGGAGCGAAACCCTCACATGAATAATATTTTTGAGGCATTATTTGGCCAAGTGCTGTAGTTCTGTTTTCCTTTGTAGTGGAAAACTGTCCTCAAATGTTCAAACTGTAACCCATTCTAACCCTGGGGATCATCACCTCTCATTAAACATCTCCATGGCAAGGCAACCTAAGGAAAATAGCGTTATTTAAGGAGCTCTGAATCAGAAGACCAAGGCCCTAACCATGATTTTTATTTTTGTAAATAAAAAATTTTGAAACTTATTGAGTGGGATTTACATGGTCCTTGGGTAAAGAGCAAGGTTAAAGCTGGGTCCCTGAGCATCGACTCCAACAGGAAAAAACTCATCTCTGGGGAAATGAGGTCACTTCCTGGGTCCTCGACTTGGTTTCTTCATCTTAAAAGCACAGGCAGATTGCTATGCCCTGCAAAGACCATCCCTTTCTGTAATGAAGTCGCCACCGTTTCTCACCCAAGAGACCACGACTCTCTTAGGGTGGAACTAAAAGGAAAACATGGCCTTGAGGTGGAAGAGGGCCTAGGGGACTAATGGGGATGGAAAAATAAAATAAAGAAAAACATGGCTTAAAGCACAGAGTCAGGCTGCCTGAGTTTTCCGCTCCACACTCACGAGATGTAAGACATGGGTATAACGTAGCCTTCTGAAGCTTCATCTACGACCTTTAAAACAGATCGTTATAGTGTCCGCCTGCCAGGGCCGCCACAGCATCAGGTGCGCGGACACAGGTAAGTGCAGGGCCCAGGACAAGCCCTCTAACGCCAGCTGGTGTTAGAACGTGGCAGGCACCGTGTCCACCTCCTGTCTCCAAGCCCTGCCAGTTCTTCCACTTATATGTGTATCTCTCCACTAACCACGAATTGTGGAGAAAAGACAGATGAATAAGGACTGCCAGGAAGAAGATGTACTGGTTATCTCTGAGGAGGAAAAAGAAAACTTTCCCTGCAGCACTGTATGCCTTTAAAAAGTATATTAGGGTTATAACACTTTTCTCTGTGCTGTTCTGTAGGTTAGAATTTTGTCAAATTTTTAAAAAAGCACGGGATCAACAGCCAAGCAACCAATACCCCTCCCAGCTCTATGATGTCAGACAAGTTAGCTCCCCTTTCCTTAGCTGTACAATGGGAGCAGGTGCGCAGGGTCACAGGGAAGAATTAAGTGAAGTTACTGATGAACCTACAGAAAAGATGCTGCTACTGTTAGAGTTGCCGTGGTGGTTGGATTTTACCACCTGGCAGTCTCTTTGTCCCTGTGTGCTTCTCCTAATGCAGAGCGTGCCAACTGCAGAACACTGCTCGCCCGCTGTCCACCCACTGCCCCCCAGGGAACCTGCACTCTCCCCGCACAGAGCACCGAGCACCAGGCTCAGATGGGGCTGCCGCCTTCCCAAGACACATGCCCTCAGCACCCGTCGTCCTGACAGCATTTATCACGTGTACTTTGAGGTCCTTAAGAAGCATATGAGCTTGATTCCACTCACTATTCCCAGAGGAAGACAGAGGATGGAAAGAAGGAAGGAAGGTGAGGAGCAGGCTCCATCGTCTTTCAGAAGAGCCCTCGCTGTGCCTGTCCCCGGCCGAGGGCCCTGTCGGTGGCGGAGCGGGTCTCACTCCTGGATGGCCCCCCCTCAGGCCCACTCAGCCCACTCGCCCTACACCGAGTGCGGATGCTCTGCCATCGAGCAGGGTCCCTGAGTGTGCCGCCCACATCACTCTAATTCTGTTCTTTCTTCTTTTTCTTTTTAAATCCTCACCCAAGGATATTTTTCCATTGATTTTTAGAGAGTGAAAGAGAGAGGGAAAGACAGAGAGAAACATCGATGTGAGAGAAACACATTGATTGGTTGCCTCCTACAAGAGTCCCTACCAGGGCCCAGGCCAGGGAGGAGCCTACAACTGAGGTACATATTATATATATTATATATATATAATTTTAGCGTCATGATAACGCTGTAAGGTAACCATTATTATTATCCCAGTGTTACTGATGGAGAAACTGAGGCACAGAGAGATTAAGTGGACTTAGCCAAAGCGATACAGGTGGTAAGTGGGAGAATTTGAACCGGATGTTCTATTGCAGACTCCATGCACTTCACCACCACACTAAAGCCTCTTTCTAATCAATACCTTTTAACTTCTATACTCTATCATATCATTTACATTTTCATTACAACAGAGTAATATTGCACACATTTATTTTTAGTTTTTGGTAGCATCTAGCATAAAGTTAGTGCTCCATCAATACTGATTATTAGAAATCGAATCTTTATATGATTCTATAAGCCCTGGGAGGTACATACCCCCCGAATATACTTTACTGACATTTATAGCAATCATGAGAGATAGGCTGGTTTAGTTAACAGGTGAGAAAAAGTGAGATGCGCCCTGGCCGGTTTGACTCAGTGGATAGAGCATCGGTCTGTAAACTGAAGGGTCCCGGGTTCAATTCCAGTCAAGGGCATCTGCCCAGGTTTCGGGCTCGATCCCCAGTAGGGGGCATGCAGGAGGCAGCCAATCAATGAGTCCCTCTCATCATTGCTGTTTCTATCTCTCTCTCCCTCTCCCTTCCTCTCTGAAATCAATAAAAATATATCTTTAAAAAAGGAAGAAAAAGTGAGATGCAAAAGAGTTAAGAGACTTATTCTAAATTGTACACTAAACAGCAGTGCCTGCCCTGAAGCAAGACCATCTGACTCCAAGGCGGCACTTCTCTGTACCAGCCTTTCTGGGTGTCTCCAGGGTGAGGCCACAGCAGGGATACGGACAGAAAATGAGGAGCATAAGAAAAGCAGATGGCTCTATGAATAGCTCCCTTGTCTTTTGCATATAACTTGCAACAATAAAAATGCAGTTATTGTTGCAGGTGATTGCCCCACTTATTTATGCGTTCATTGGTTGGTTCTTCTATGTGTCCTGACTGGGGATCGAACCCGCGACCTTGGTGAATGGTGAATCAGGACAATGTACTAACCAGCTGAGTTATCCGGCCAGGGCTCCTTGTCTTTTACATATTTTTTAATTAAAAGAAAAGAAAAGACTGTGGCCAAAGCCCGGGCCCCGCTGTCCTTAGATGCCTGGAGACCCATCTGACACTGCAGGGGGCTCCCTGTGAGCGCCCATCTCACCCTCACCCTCGCCGATGGTACCTGTAACTATTTAACAATACGCCTCGGAGACCCCAGCTGTCAACAAGCCGGTTCCTGACCTGCTGCCCGCACCCTTGTCCTGGGCACGGCTGTCCTTGCTGGCCGCCTGGGCCGCCTTCCTGCTGGCTTCCTCCTCTGTCTCACTCAGGCTGTCCCTGGGAGAGCTCTCCTCCAAGCTGTCCCGCTCCATGTCGCTGTCCTGGCTTCGCTCTCCACGCTCAGCCTGAGAGGCACTCTGGGGACTGAGGCTCTCTGAGTCGGCTTCCAGGGAATCTTTGGAAATCAGAGGTAAGTCTTCTTTCTGAAAAGGCGGTTCTGTGGCCTGGACCTTTAGGCTGGCACGATGCACAGGAGACTGAATAGAGAGCCTGGGAATTAGTTTACCGTGACTCATCCTGAAAAAATACAAAAATTACCAGGAAACTCTTGTTGACAGGCGCAGTACAAGTTGTGGCCGAATGTTTCCAGCTGTGGTTCACAAGAGTGTTACCTAAAATAATTATGTTTCTGTTACTCTGTGGCTACTAAAGTCTCTGTAATTCCCACGTTAATAAAACTGTAAACGAGGACAGGAGCTGTGTGACATGGCCCGAGGCTTCGGGGTGCACCCGCGCGCGAGGAAGGTCTGTTGGAGACGTTTCTCTCTCCAGGAGCACGTCTGAGGAAGAGGGCTACCCAGCGAGGGTCAAGGGCAGCTCAGGGTCTGGGCAGGCCACGCGGTAACGTGGACAGGACTTTGGTGCCTTATTTCAATACCCAGGGCACGGATATGAACGTTGTACTCATGGAGAGAGAAACAGGCCTGGGCTGCGGTGTGCACAGGAAGGGATGGGGGTGTTTCCACAGTCCTAACTGCCGGGAGGGAGGGAAGGAAGCTGGGGGGCCCTGGCCCACACTGGCGCCCTCATTGATACAGGCTGCTGATGATAGGCAGGTCTAACTAGGGGAGGTCAGTCATGGGATCCACCTCAGAGACTTCATTAGAAAAATGATTCAAACTCTTCACCACAAGTGTGGCAGCTGTGAATGCTGAGCAGTGCAGCCTGAGGCCGCCCTGGGAGTGCTGGGGGACGGGCCTGGATGGCGTCAAGAGTGTCATTCTCCGTGCACCCCTGTCTCACAGGCCGTTAGACCCTGAGACACTCTGGGAAGGTGCTTTGAGTTCACAGCAAACTGAAGGAGCGGGTTTGGAGTGGGCTGTTGGGCACATCTCCACCTCGCACTTCTCGGCTGGCTTCGAGCTCACTGCCTGAGGCCACATGGGTCCTGTGGGTCCCGTAACAGGACCGTGGGCGTCAGGGAGCAGCTAAAGTTGTTTAAGGGCTGCTCTTGGTTTTGGCAGATCCTAATTTTAATTAAACACATGACCTTGTCCCTAGCGCTGCTTATGTTGATTTGTTGCTAAGGAACCTCATCTATTCCGTGGAGAAAAGCACCTAACAAAACAGACCAGGTCACACATTCACATGTGATTGTCTCACTGCGCAGACTGTTTGCTGTACTGAGTTTCTTATTTAAAATACATCTATTTCATTCCACTGTGTTATTGTAACACTGGTGAGCTGACTAACTGTTGCTCTTTTGGGATATTTTTACAAAGCAGCGAAAGCTTCCAAAAACTGGAAGCTTTAAAACACCAGTGCTACTCTAAGACTTCAAGTCACTGTACTTGGGATCTTAAAGAAAAAGATTAAAATAATCACTACATTTCAATTTGGAAATGCTCCTTCATGAAATTATTCTCTCCACTTTCCCTTCTTTTCTTAAATGAGATAGATTAGTGTCTCTTGGAGTGAATCAATAAAAAATGTCCATAGAAGACAGTCCTTTGTTAATGGATTAGTGAAGTTTGGGAGGGCATGAAGGAGGCAAAGCCAGAAGCCGCCTGCGGAGGTCCTCACCCAGCTGAGGCTGGTGGGGGACTGGCGGGAGGGGCGGTCACTGTAAGGGTTTCCCACCCAAGTGTCTGACCCCGAGGCAGACAAGCAGAGCACTCATGCCCCGCAGATCCTGGGCCCTGGGCACCGCCAGCTCCGGACCCACCGCGGGTCCAGCCCACGGGCGGGGCCGGGAGTCCTGGTGGGAAGGAACCTGCTTGCCCGCCGTGAGCGGCAGAGAAAAGCTGCTGTTGGGCACAGGCCGAAGCTGCCGCAGGGGCGCTCGGATTCCTGTCCTCCCGCTGCCTTTCCTCTGGACACCGGGCAGCAAGA